ATCTCCCACTGTTGCAGAGTCTTTACTCAAAGAACATGTTGTAGCTTGCGATTCAGGGTTTTCCTTCAAACACATAGATAACAAGGACATTGTTAAAATCTTTAATACTTTGAATAACAAAAAGACTGCAGATCTATGGGGTAATTCTGTGTACATTACAAGCTCTGTAATAACTATTGTAGCACCTGTATTGGCTCAAATCTTTAATAACTGTATTGACTGTGGTGTGTTTCCTGATCTTATGAAATGTAGTAAAATAATTCCATTATTTAAATCAGGTAGTACTTCTGACCCCACTAACTTTAGACCTATTTCAGTACTACCTACGTTCAGTAAAATTTTTGAAAAAATCATTTTAGATCAAATGCAAAGATTTTTTAATAGAAATAAATTATTACATGCGAAGCAGTTCGGATTTACAAGGGGTCGTTCAACAACTGATGCCGGTGTTGAACTTCTTAATCATATTTACGACGCATGGGAGGACTCAAGCGACGCTTTGGGAATATTTTGTGATTTATCCAAGGCGTTCGATTGCGTGCTTCATGATACACTGATCAGGAAGCTTTCCCATTACGGAATTAGAGGTGCATCTCTGGACCTTCTTACCTCATACCTGAGTAATAGGGTTCAGAGAGTCGAAGTAAACGGAATGGTTTCTGCCGGGTCTGTTGTGAAGATGGGTGTTCCGCAGGGTTCTATTCTCGGCCCGTTTTTATTTCTTATCTATATTAATGACTTGCCTTACCTTGTAAGGGATAAACACGAGATAGTGCTGTTTGCTGATGATACCTCACTATTATTCAAACTCAGACGACGACAATCATTAATTGACAATGTAAACAGTGCTCTCTCAGAAATAGTTCACTGGTTTGGTGTGAATAACTTATTACTAAACGAAACTAAAACTAAATGTATTAAATTCACAACACCAAATGTTAAACAGATAAAAACCAGTGTGCTTGTCAAGGGCGAGGAGTTGAGTCCTGTAGATACAACTGTCTTTTTAGGTATAACCCTGGACGCTAAGCTCCAGTGGGGCCCACATATAGATGGCTTGTCGAAGAAGCTCAGTTCTGCAGCATATGCCGTTAAAAAAATTAGAAATTTAACAGATATAGATACAGCGCGGTTAGTTTATTTTGGTTATTTCCACAGCATCATGTCATACGGTATTTTGTTGTGGGGGAATGCTGCTGACATCCAGTCTATTTTTGTTCTGCAGAAAAGGGCTATTCGATCAATCTATAATCTTAGTCCGAGACATTCGCTCAGAGAATTATTTAAGGAATCTAAAATAATGACAGTTGCCTCTCAATATATTTATGAAAATGTAATTCACGCTCATAAAAACAAAAGCTTATTTAAGAAATATAGTGATATACATAATATCAACACGAGGGGGAAAAACAAATATGTTGTGCCTGCCTCCAGGCTTCAGAAAATAAGTAGTTCGTTTAGGTGTCAATGTATACGCTTTTACAATAAAATTCCTAGCGATATTCAAAATTTGAGCCTCAATAAATTTAAAAGTGTAATAAAGGCTAAACTTTGCTGTAAAGCATTTTATAAAATAAAAGACTACTTAGAGGATAGTCAGGCTTGGGAATGAGCCGCTGTAATGTCTGCACAGGTCATGTTGACATGTTTGTAACATAAGTTACACTTTTATATACAATTTGACATTACGTTTATTTATTTTTATACAATGACATGATCACATAGTGTGACATTTTTATTTTTTATTTGACATTTTTTTTTATTTATTTGTTGACATTTTTATTATTTTATATTATTGTTAGTGTAAGGACCGTGTGAGACTTGTCGTGCTTTTTTATCACCAGTCATCTGCGTTCTGACAGTTTGAGTACTTGCGCGACCCACCCAAATGTTCTTTTGATCGGTATTGTTCGTCGGACAACTCAACAGCACTAGCTATATGGTTGCAAACTGACACTTGCGTGCCTGTCTTCAGAACGGGTCCACTTAAACTGGTGTGGTTCTTTCCTCAAAAGACCACTACAGAATGAACTTGCACGGTTCTCTCACATTATGTTATTTTATATTGTCTGGACTTGAAAAGAGACTGACCTCTGAGTTTGTTTCGGCATTTCTTCTCAGAGTAGTCAGATAGGAAATGCCGGCTTCATCTAGTTTTTCACATATAATTTGACGTGTAAAAGTGCCGTTTTAAGGCCTATTTGCAAAAATAAATTCATTGTTTCATTGTTTCATTGTTTCATTGATCTTTTAAATTTGAAACTAAGTTTAAGTTTTTCTCTATGTAATTTAAATCAATTAATAAGGATGTAATTGATTCGTAGAGAAAAATTATGGAATCACATCGGCATAAAGTACATCAAAAAAAATATTTTTCGTCATTATTCATTCCTCTGCTTTTGTCCGCGACTACGTTTGCGTGGAATAGTGACTTCCTGCAGATTTTTGGTATAAAAACTATCCTATTTCCTTTCTCGAGTTCCAAGCGATGTCTGTACCAAATTTCACAGAAATTGGTTCAGTAGTTTAGGCGTGAAGAAAAAACAAACAGAGTTACTTTGGCATTTATAATTATTAGTTTGGATTGTCTTAAAATCTAAGGATGATAGCGAGTAATTCTGTAATATATTTTAATTGTTGTATTTTGTTTTAAAAATGACCAAGTGAATAAATTTATTTTTTATTTTTGTAGCCGTAAATTACTGCTGGAAGACCACTTAAGGGTTAAAAGCTAACCGATGTCGTGGTAATGAGTTCAAATGAATGAAAACTGACAGTCAGGTTAAACTGTAATTGTTGACTATTTCGTTGTGAATTCAAAGTGATATTTTGGTTAACCTAGTGTTGTTTTGTGGTGTGATAACTGAACTGAAGTGACAATGAGTTTAAGAAGGTAAGTTTAGTGATTAGAAATTCAGTTTGTCTGACGTTGTTTTGTTTGTTTTTGATAAATAACCTTTTTTTTGTATGATTGTAGAATGTGTTTCTTTTTTATTTTTAGGGCTGATTTTTCAATGGTACTATAATGATTATCTGGGGAATAAAATTGTTGCTGTCGCTGTCTTACACAAACATTCTGACGCGACAGCATCATAATTAATTATTCCCCAGGTAAGTTTTATCTAACCAATGAAAAATCAGCTCTAACGAGTAGTCATAGATATTGAAATTGATTCTGTTATTTTTATTTTGTGGCGTTATGTATTTATAGTTGCTAACTGTTTTAGCAACTATACATACATCATGCTTCGGTATGAATGGGTCGGGTCAAATTGAAGAATACCACGACCTCACAAAATTTCGGTGAAGCACAACGCTTATATATATTATTATGTTTTTTATTTATTTTTATTTTATTTTATTTATCATCCTTATCACTAACATTACAGAATAATCCAATGCGTTAGTGAGGCATTCTGAGGCTTGTTAAATTATATAACCCCAAATCTTCAATTGATTGGATCTTTCCCCCCTATCCCATCCCTGATATCTCCAAATCTACAAATCTTCAAACCCCAAATCTCCAATATATATAGGATATATTGATGATAAATGATTATGGAACCCCTTAAACCAACAAAACGTCAAACTTATGTAGTGATTAAGTCTTGACCTCTACATAACTAACAATCCAATATGCGTGATATTACACAATACCATTCAGAATATCGCTAATCCAAGGTCCCTTCCCAATTATTTCACTGCAATCCTAGGATTAAAATGTTATACCCCGTATGTCAACTGCAGATAAAACTATAGTACACTGTTAAATTAATTCAATTGATTTTCAATTTTATTTCGAAGTTATAGAATTGAAATTGTATTATTAGACCAGTACGAACTGTAGTGTGGGAAAGTCATACTTGGGCAGAAATTGGTTAATTCGAAAGGTCGAGTGATACCTAGTGCCTCACAGAAAACCGACGTGAAACAACCACAGCGTTGTGTTTTTTATAGGGCCTCGGGTAACCTTAGTAGTGACTGTAGTGAAGGTACCGGAGGCCCAATCTCCAATTAATTTGTGGATCATACAATTGGTAGATCACATAGAGTGTTGTGCCGAGTGGGACCCAAACCCGCAGCATGTTGCACAGGACCCAGTTGCCCAGCCACTGTGCCAACCATTTTTTTTTGTTGTGAGTAGAAAGTCATCAAATGACTTCTCCCGCCCAGGGCCGGGCGAGCGGGAGTGTCAGACTTTTACTGACTAAAAACCCCCCCTGTTCCTTCTCTTGCTCTAGGCCGAGGTCGCGGTGCCTCATTGCGCTTGCCCCGCAACCCCGGTTGAATATCGGCCCTATAGGGCCCCGTCTGTAGTGGTCTATTGGCTCTTTGAGGCGCGCGCGGAACGCTACGCGCCGTACGCTCGGGTCTGGTTCTGGACGGGCGGCGAATTACCCTTACTCGCCGACCGCAGACCCGTGCTTACGGTGGCCGGAGATCGTCCCTTGATCCCCGACGCCCGTAGTGTCGCCTGTTGCGGCTGCAGGGGCGTAAGAAGGAGGATTGCTCCCTCACGCGGTCACTGTGCCAATCATGCAGTCGATATCTTCCCAGTCCCCAATCTCCAATCCACTATCATAAAATCTGTATCCTCCATAAAGCCAGCATCATACTAGGATTTTCTCCAATGTTGCACGTGGAGGTGCCGACTGCTTACCATCAGGTAATCCGTCTGCTCGTTTGCCAAAAAGAACTGTTTCAAAACTAATTTAAAACAATGACTCTTAGATCCTTAACCTAATTACTGTATAATAACTTAGTTACAACTTAAACTTAGGTTTTAACTAAAAATAAATGTTAAAGATATTTTGACCGCCACTCACCTACCGGGAACTTAACGAAAATATTTGCGTTCAAAATTAATTTTAGAGTACGCCGTCGCTGAATAATTTATGGGATTTTCAAATTTATTACTGATAAATTAAGCTGCAATTTTGTTCATCAGATTTTTGGAATTCCGTTTGAAGTGACGCGGCTTAATGGTTATTTTTTGTCAGCGGAAAATCATCAATTGACTTCTGTAAGTATCGGATTCTTACTGACTTAAAATACCTCGTTCCTTCTCCTGCTATAGGCCGAGGTTGGGGTTCCTCATTGCGTACCCCGCAACCCCGGCTGAACAGCAGCCCTATAACAGAGCAAGAGAAACTGGCCACTCAACCAGAATCAGACCTGAGAGTATGGCTCGTAGCGTACGCAAAAGAACCAATAGACCACCACAAACACGATCCTACAAGGTCGGTTCAGTCGGAGTATTGAGTCAAGCACAATAAGGTCCTGTGGCTTTGGCCTGGAACAGGAGAATCAACGAGGAATTTTTTTGTCAGTAAGAGTCTGACACTCTCTCTCGCCTCACGCTTTTTTTTTTACTTGCAATAAACTCGTGCTTGACTGCGATCCCACCTGATGGTAAGCAGTGATGCAATCGTTGATGGCAAGGCGCACTAGTTTATTAAGAGCCTATTCACTCTAGCCTTGAGGACACCTAAATTGTATTCGGACAGAAAGACTGCAGCCGGCAAACTGTTCCAATCCCTCGATGTACGCGGTATAAATGACGAGGCAAAACGCTTAGTCCGGGCCGCAGGTAATTTAATATAATACTTCAATTAAGTCATTTGATGATCCTCACAAAAAGAAAGTTATTTAGGATAGGTGATTTGAGGATTATGGTTGGGGAGAAAGGATAGTGCCTCAACCACGCGGCAAGAAGTGTTGCTTGACGCCGGTTTTCTGTGAGGCCGTGGTATCATGCCAGTCGAGCCAAAACATGGCTCTCCTACGCTAAAATAGTTGGATACAAAATATAGTGTGGAAGAGCCATGCTTCGGCACGAATGGGTCGGCTCGACCGGAGTGATACCACGGCCTCACAGAAGACCGACGTGAAAAAACCACAGCGCCATCCTTCCCCGTCCCCAATCCCTCCTCAATCCCTAAATCTCCAAATCCCTAATCCCTAAAAGGTCGGCAACGCACTCGTAACTCCTCCGTTGCGGGTGTCCATGGGCGGCGCTGATTGCTTACCATCAGGTAATCCGTATGCTCGTTTGCCGACCAATTACATAAAAAAAAAATTGTCGACTGCTGACTCCACCTATCCATCTCAGGAACGTCGGCCATGACATTTTATGAACCTAGCAAAGAATCCATTACATGATTATTATTCATTGTTTCATCTATTTGACATCCAGAGGCGTCATATCTCGCATTCATACAAGACTATTCATGATAGTGCTTTGACTTTTTTTTATAGGGATGGGAAAGTATCGATAAATTTAATATCGATGATAAAAATCTTTATGTTAATTCAGACAAATTTATTTAATCTATTTTAATTACATTGTTCAAGTAAAATTGGAAAGAGAAATTCTGTTTATTTTTTTATAACAAGTAGGTATTTATTTTGGGTTGGGTTTCTTCTTCACATCTTATGGCTTCTTTCACCATTGAGAGAGTCTGCCAGCCTCATAGTGGCTAAAACCACTTGTTCCAGTCGGGTCACGGTTCATTATTGTGATTGTATCCTCTTCCTTAGCCGTTCCATCTATGGATTTACTCTCGCCTTAAAGCTTTTTATTTACAACTAGCAGCCCGCCCCCGCTTTGCACGGGTCCGACTATCTCGCTTTTCACTTTCACATGTCACTTTTTCCTAAGCTTCCCCTCTACTTTTCTAATATTTTGATAAGAACCTTCTCCTGACAATAACAAACACAACAAAAAAAGAATTAGCAAAATCGGTCCAGACATTGTTGAGTTATGCACTTACCAACATATTTTGCGATCCATTTTTATATATATAGATTTGCAATAATTATGGGCTGCTTAATAACATTCAAAATATTATCTCGAATATATTTTTAGATGTGTGTGTGACTTTTTCAGAGTTATATTTTACTTTCTATGATTATTTAAACACCACTGAGATACGGTAAAAGAAAAAAGTCCAGATGATTTATAATTTATAATTATAAGTTTTAAATCGCCAATTTGCCTTGAGAACGCGTAGTGATTAATGCTCAAACTTTCTTCGTGTTGGAAGAGGCCGTAAACAGGGGCTTAAATTTGTGACGTAGTAATATTTTTTAGCAGATAAGATTTTAAATAGTATAATTTGTGCTGAGAACTCCAGTTTCTATATAAATATAAGCTAATAATGTTTGATAAAATTTCAGTAATAACTTAAATGATAATAGTTTTTAATTGAACAAAAATCATTTGTTTTGCAGTCACGATTCTATAAGCAACGAATTGAAAAACTAGGCAATGTTAATTTTAAAACAGATTGTAACAAAATCTATTGATGCTAAAAACCCTTTGCTTAGCAGTCGCCACTTAATAAACAAGAAAGCTAATAATAAAAAGTAAAAGTATAAGCCCGCAGGGCACCTGGAGGCGAGGTGACGGGAATTAGCGATCCCGCGGGCTACCATCTTACCGATTGCTCCAGGGAGGAGTCAGCAGATCTCCCACCTCTGGCTTGCCTTCATTGGCCGTCCAGAGTGGAGTCGCAAGAGTAGTGATCCTTTTTGTTGTCCCTCTGTGTCTGGTGTCCAAGTAAAGCGCTTTAAAATGTTACCAAACACGGTATAATTAACTTAACTTTCTTTTTTTACTCTGATTGTTTTGTCCGCTAGAGGACGCCACATTAGATTTTGCGATACCCCATATAGCCTATAACCAGCGGACAATTAAGACGTTTCTAATGATATGTCTTATGTCGAATTCTGATAAGTAGTTTAGAAGTTACGAGGGAACAGATGAACAAACATACATACATAGTTTGTCAAAATCATAACCCTCCTTTTGCTTTGCCGTAGTCGGGTAAAAAGTAGCCAATGGCCAAACAGATTGTCACAAAATCTATCGATACTTGGTATTACACATGAATCACATCACTATTCGTTAAGGATTACTTTGATGTCATTCCCTTACAGAGATGTTTGTGTCGTCAAGGGCGTAGAGATGTAACATATATTTATTTAGGATCTAACAAACAAGAGAAATCATGGAGACGTCTTCTTTATCAGATAAACAAGCAAATTATCATGTCAAAGTTTCTCTATGTTTCTTGTAACCTTTTTCTTGGTATTTTATGACGAAAAACATGTAGTGTGATAAATTATAGAGTATTTTCTTACAAAGCACAACCGTGAAGAGCCGCCATTTTTCGAAAAATGAAAATCATCGAATGATTTCTCTCACCCAGGTTATGGCGAGAGGGAGTATTTTTTACGTGATAGGTCGGTAAACAAGTAGACTGATTACCTAATGGTAAGTAATCAGCGACTCCCATGGACACCTGCAACGATGAAGGAGTTACGAGTACGTTGCCCACCTTTTGGGGATTTGGGGTTTGGGGATTAAGGAAATTAAATGTCGCCTGAGCTACAAAATTCGAAAAGATTCACAATGCTCTTCCTATTACAGATCTGGTTACATAATTCTATCACTTAGCATCAGTAAATACACAAATTATTTTATTTTTTCAAACGCGGAATTTGAAATGATCAGAAATACACCTTAGATTACACATCCCTAGTGATTCATAAATGTAATAAATTATCACAAAAGCAGCTCCGAACAGGAAAGAAACAGGGTAGTTTTTAGTCAATAGGAGTCTGACACTCCCTCTTATTCAGTCATTTGATGAGTTACTATTACCTTAAAAAGACCTTATGCATCCAAGTTTTATTCAAATTTACCTTGGAGTTTGATCTGAAAGAGTACGTATTAGAGAATTCTTACTAGGTATACAAATAAACTAGCTACTCTCGTACGGTTTCACCCGCTGCTCAGCACAATGTGATCGTAGGGTGATGTTTTATAACCTATAGTACTTAGAAACATTGTAGCTACCTATCAGTGAAAGAATTTTCGCAATCCGACCAGCGGTTCCAAAGATTACCCCCTACATACAAACTTACAAACATGCAAACTTACAAATTATACTTCTTTATAATATTAGTATAGGTTTGATATCTCTGTTAATTATCTGATAATTCTTAGCAATTAAGCTTGCAGCTGTACCTCAAACATAACCTGTAACAATCGTCCCATTGTATAAAGAAAATTAATGTTACAGCAACACAAACGTCTTTTGTGTATCTCCGGGCTATTGTAACATCCCTTTGTTATGTAACACGTTACGACAGTGTAAGGTTACATTGAAGTAAGAAAATAATGATGTGTGAAGAAAAGTGTACGTTATATTCGTAGAAAAAAGAAAATAAATGTTTTTTAATGTAAACGACAAAGGTTTCGCACGGGCGCACTATTGATACTCAATTTCTACATGTTGTTTAATGGATGTTATTATACATATAATATAACCTTCCACTTTAACTAATTTACCGATAAAAAAAACATCGGTATTGTTTTATACTATGTGTGGGAAAGCTATGCTTTGGCATGAATTAGGTAGTTTCCTAGGTCAAAAATAAATTAATTTTACATTTCAGTACAATAAAATATTGAAAAATAGCTAAATATTTTCTGTAGTGTCTATATCTAACGCCTTTTTAGCGATTGTTTTGGATATAAGTAAGCTATTTGGCCCAAAATTACTATGACGTCATAATTTTGGATAAAATTATGGAATTTAACTAGCTGGAAACTGCTGTATTGTATTTCGCCGTGTTGAGTGAGGTTATCAATGTCCCAAATCCTAATCCCCAAATGGTTGGCAACACATTCGTAACTTCTCCGTTGTTGCGCGTGCCCATGGGTGGCGCTGATTGCTTACCATCAGGTAATCCGTCTGCTAGTTTCCCGTCCTATCACATAAAAAGGAATTATAGTGATTAACTAACACTAACCTAACAAGAATTATCCAAAATATTGCAAAAATTCCTTTAAAAAACTCTTCTATTTTTATCCATAAAATTGTAGGGTAAAAGGTCCTAATAACAGCTCACCATTATTTCATTATTTTAGTGAAAATTTCTAAATCTAAAACTGAAGGTTGATAATTATAATTAAGCTAAACAATTAAAGTTACAAAAAGGAATTTAAGACGTTACGAAACTTTCTTAAAATTGAACGTCACGTTGTAAATTTATAAACTGTTCGGACGAATTATTAATTAAAAGGTGTAACAACAGGTGATAAATTTTCGTATAAAGTCTCCGTTTTTAGTTATAAGTTTAGTTTTGTTAGTAAAAATTGTTTAATTAAATAATGCTCTTTCTTTGTGTACCAGATAGCTAGTATATCAATTTTAGTAATTAAATTATGAATTGTTAATAATATTTCCTAAATTGCTCTGATAGCCCTTGGGATGCCTCTTCTTCCCCAAGCAGCTCAACGTATGTTTCCCCCGTTTCGTTACATGCTAGCAGCCGTTTTCCGGGGCACATTAATTGAGTTTGCCAGTCAGACAGAGGCCATAGTATTTCCATAGTGCACACCCACACCCATAGACATTATAATTTTCTACCATATGCACAATAGTTCTGCATTATAATATACTCTATTATAATTACGCGGGTACGCAAATACTTGCTCTGAAGTCAGTCTGCTTGCGACCACGACCCATACAACCAGGTTGAAACGTCAAGCCTTCCAAGGTCTCGTCGGGCACCTGTCTGGAAGGGGGCCGGATTTAGCGGACGGCCAGTTCGGCTTCCGAAGAGGGCGCTCCACGGTGGACGCCATCATGCGCGTGAGGGACCTCACGACGGGGACAGCGTTGGCCGGGAGGCGAGTCGTCGTGGCGGTGTCTCTGGACATCGCCAACGCCTTTAACTCGCTCCCCTGGAGCTGCATTTTGGAGGCACTCCGGTATCACCGGGTGCCTGCCTATCTCCGTCGTGTAGTCGAGGCTTACTTGACGGACAGATGCGTCATCTACCCCGGTCACCGGGGCGTGTGGAATCGGCGAGAGGTGTCGCGCGGTGTCCCACAGGGATCGGTCCTGGGACCTCTCCTGTGGAACATCGGGTACGATTGGGTGCTACGCACCGACCTCCCGAGCGGCGTCAGCATTGTCTGCTATGCTGACGACACGCTGGTGCTGGCGAACGGGAGGTCGCATCAGGCGGCGGCCGACCTGATGTCACAAGCGGTTGCGACAGTCGTTGCAAGGATCCGGCAGTTGGGACTCGAGGTGGCGCTCCACAAGTCCGAGGCCATGTGCTTCTATGGCCGTCGGAGCGCGCCACCTCCAGGTGGGTCCCAAGTAACGGCAGGAGGAGTTACCATCGGCGTCGAGTCGGCGATGAAGTACCTGGGTCTCGTCCTCGACAGCCGATGGAACTTCACGGAGCATTTTCGTCGTTTGGCCCCTAAGTTGGAACGGTCTGGGGCCGCGCTCAAGCGGCTCCTTCCCAACCTCGGGGGGCCAAACGCCTCCTGCCGGAGGTTGTATATGGGGATTGTGCGATCCATGGCCCTCTACGGTGCCCCTGTGTGGGCGCCGGACTTGAAGCGGCGGCCGGCTCGTACGCTGGTCGCGTCCCAGAGGGTCATGGCTATACGAGTAATCCGCGGGTATCGCACGATCTCCGGGGAGGCGGCGAACCTCCTTGCCGGATCACCGCCGTGGGATCTAGAAGCGAAGGCGCTCGCGCGCGTCTACAGTTTGCGCGCAGACGCGCGTCGCCGGGGCGAAGATCCTCTGCCGCGCCAAATAAGTGCGTGGCGGAATGAGCTCCGGCGAGATCTCACGGCAGAGTGGAGACAACGACTGTCGCAACCGAGGGCCGGGCACGCTACCATAGCAGCGGTAAGACCCCTCTTTGAGGAGTGGCTTGAGAGACGCCACGGCGTCCTCACCTTCCGTCTGACGCAGGTGCTTACCGGGCACGGCAGCTTCGGTAGGTTCCTGTTTCGGATTCAGCGGGAGGAAACGCCCGAGTGTCGTCATTGTGAGGACCACCTAGAGGATACGGTGGAGCATACGGTAGCGGTATGCCCTGCCTGGGCTGAGCACCGCCGTATCCTCAGGGAAGTGATCGGCGGCGGCGACCTCTCGCGCCCGGCCTTAGTCGAGGCCATGGTGCGGAGTGAGAGGAACTGGGACGCCGTCTCCTCCTTTTGTGAAGCAGTCATGCTCGCAAAGAGAGAGGCGGCCCGCGTGAGGGAGCAATCCTCCTCCTCACGCCCCAGCAGCCGCAACTGGCGACACTACGGGCGTCGGGGATCGAGGGACGATCTCCGGCCACCGTAAGTACGGGCCTGCGGTCGGCGAGTAAGGGCAGCTCGCCGCCCGACCAGAACCAGGCCCGAGCGTACGGCGCGTAGCGTTCCGCGCGCGCCTCAAAGAGCCAATAGACCACCACAGACGGGGCCCTAAAGGGCTGATGTTCAGCCGGGGTTGCGGGGTAAGCGCAATGAGGTACCGCGACCTCGGCACAGAGCAGGAGAAGGAACAGGGGGGTTTTTAGTCAGTAAGAGTCTGACACTCCCTCCTGCCCGGCCCTGGGCGGGAGAAGTCATTTGATGATTTTCCCCTCACAAAAAAAAAAAAAAAAAAAAAAAGCCTTCCAAGGTATTTAAATAATTACTTTTCATGTTAATACCCGCGTAATTATGTTATGTTAACATGAAATGCTAAAGTTTTAAAGTTATTCCTGCATCAACCGGGAATTGTCTTAGAGATTGGGCTCTGGTAACCTGAAAATACAACGCTGTGGTTGGTTCACGCCGATTTTCTGTCAGGTCTTGGTATTAACTACGTACACCGACTCATTCGTGCTGAAGCTCGGCTCTCCAAACATAGAAATAGTTTCATAGCAATAAAATAGTATAGTAGAAATATTTTATAATCAACTAGCGGGCCATCCCCGCCTCGCGCGGGTCTAACTATCTGGCTAACAACAAAAGGGTCAGTTTTCCCCAATTTTCTCCTCTACTGTTTTGATTTTTTCTTTTATAAGAACCTTCTCTTGGCCATAATAGAGACAACAAAAAAATAATTAGCAAAATTGATCCAGGCGTTGTTGTTGCATATATATAACTAGCAATCGTTCTTGGTTCCACCCGAATGGACGAAGATTTAACACTTTTTCAGGACTTTTTAAAAATGTTCACTACGTACAAAATTTTTTGTGACATCACCAAAATTTGCCAAATCGGTAAAGGCATTGTTGAATTATAACATTACAACGAAAAGTGGCATTGATTTTTATATATGTATATGGATAAAAACAACCAATTTCCGCCTCTATACTAAAATAAACCAACAAAAAGAAGCAAGGCAAGCAATCAAACTAAAGTGCTATTACAACATTTGCTTCAACAAATATCAAGTCACATGAAATTATCGAAAAAGCAATAATAATTTCCGTATCGGACGATTAAAGTGGCATTTATCTTACATTTTCAATGCACGCAACCTATCGAACTGAACGCATGGAAAGCTATATGAAACCAGTCGAAGTTAACGTACCTTTTCTATATAATGAGAGGTCAAGTTACATTGGTGGAGTATAACTTAACGTGCGGTTCTTACAGCTGAAATAAATTAACATTGTACTATCTGAGCCAATATTTGTATAGAAAAATCTTTATTCGTATAAAAGCTGAAGGCAAATAGAATTATTTTATTTGGTGACTTAGCTTCGAGGGTATTATCGTGAGGCGAATCTGAAGGATTTTTTCCATATCCATTATTTATCTATCCGTGTTTTTGAAGAGAAAAAAGACACAACGCTGTGGTAGTTTCACGTCGATTATATTTGTGAAGCCGTTGTATCATTCCGGTCAAGCCGGACCAGTCATCCCATCATAAAATCTCTCGTTCGGTTTTTTTTTTTCTATACTTCTGAGGAGGGAGGGAGTGCCAGACTCTTACTGACTTAAAACCCCCTGTTCCTTCTCCTGCTCTAGGCCGAGGTCGCGGTGCCTCATTGCGCTTACCCCGCAACCCCGGCTGAACATCAGCCCTATAGGGCCCCGTCTCTGGTGGTCTATTGGCCCTTTGAGGCGCGCGTGGAACGTACACTCGGGCCTGGTTCTGGTCGGGCGGCGAGCTGCCCTTACTCGCCGACCGCCGGCAGACCCGCACTTACGGTGGCCGGAGATCGTCCCCTGATCCCCAACGCCCGTAGTGTCGCCTGTTGCGGCCTCTTGTACGGTCAAGACACCTATAGTTCAGTATAGGACCTTGATGGCGAGTTGATAATCATCGAATCTATTCAGCCCTTACTGTCTGTTCAACCAATTCTAACTTTTATTCCGTAGACATAAAACATGCACTGAAAGCAAAAAAAAGTTGGTACAATACCAACGATTTACTGCAGCCGCAATTTGTCATATCACCAACGTAATAAAAGTCAAAATCGTTCGAACGGACAGTAAAAGCAGTTATCATAAATGTTTATAGTTATTTTGAAAAGAGAACCAAGAAAAATTTGAGTAAATTATCCCTTCAAAGGATAACAATCGCAGTAACAAAAACTCGTATTGCTTGATTTATTCCCACATAAACAAGTACAACTAATAATATTCTTTATGCACTTAACATACAATCTGTTTTTGTGTGGCACGAGTTTATTTTCATAGAACATTGTTCAGACCTCTTGTCGCCTTAAGAAGTAAACAAATTTGACCTCTATCTAACATCGGGTCACAAAAACATTGCTTCGATTTGAATTATATTATATCTTATATGTAAATGGTCTTGTCTTTTCTAAGTTCTGTTTAGATTTTCCGCCGTTTTCCACGTGGGAAGTCGAGCTGCTGTTTCGCCAGGAATAGCCCAACTCAGTCAGAAGGATACCATTTCCTCAAAGAAAACTCTAAGTCAAAATCATTTTTTTCTTTAAGACCCTTACAGGCTCTTTTGAAAAAATTGCAGGAAGTCACTATTCCACGTGAACGAAGTCGCGAGCAAAAGCTAGTTTATTATAAGACAGTGCCTAAATTGCTATGTAAGCAAGTATGAATCCGTAAAAACACCAGAGGCCCAAAACTACATTCACTCTTAACCCTAAAACCCCAAAGCTCGGCAACTCACTTGTAACTATCTTGCACGTACAAGGTGTAAAAAGACACTTAACGAAGCCGTTAACTACGCATACTGCAGTTCTAACTAAGTAGCTTTACGCTAAAATTATCACTGGGAAACGACTTTTATTTTTAGGTATCAAAAAAAATAATAATTTTATTGCGCGCAGTGTACAGCAAACGGGCTTCGTGTCATTTTGTGTACACAGCTTAGCATTAAAACGCTGTGATAAGTACGTAGGTCGACGTTTTTCTTCGCAACAACAAAACAATTCTGTAAAATAAAAATCCTACTGAGATGCACGTTGTTTTTTGTGCGGGTCTGCATTTATTTATTACGTACATTACTGTTCGTAACTTCAAATGCGTAATTTATTTAGAAAAATCGAAAATTCAGGTAATGTTTGTTTGGAGTTTTGTAATAAATACTTCTTATCTTCTTATATTAAATAAAAATGCATCTTTGACCTTCAATATCTCGAGAACCCGTGGAGCCCCAGCTATGGTCTTAAAAAAATGATCCAAATAATGGGTAGAATACGTGGCTTTTGGCTTCGTTAAGTGTCTTTTTACACCCTGTATCTATAAGCGGTGACCATTGCTTACCATCAGACGATTTTATTGATCGTACGGCGACGAATCCTTTAAAAAAGAATGGGAAGAACAATCTAATCTGCTATCAGGCAATTACCACTTAATATATATAAGTTTAGGAGTTATACATGTAGACAGAAAAGTTTTGAGGGTGGCAGAACCTATGGGAGGGTTTTAGGGGGCAAAATGGGGGTGTTTGGAGAGGGAAAACTTGTGAATTATGACCCAAACTTACTCCCGATATCTTTGCTGAGGAAATAAAAATGTAACGACATTTCGGAAATATTTTATTTCATTACGAAAAAGGTAAATTGTTGAAAATAATTATATAGAATTGTTTTCTACATTGAAATTTATCAACACCGGTTACTGACATCTAACTACACTACATGAGCTGCTGTTTACATGTGAACATTAGCTCATGACGATACCTAAGTACGTGTGTCGCCTGGACAGTCAACCTCGCTACATCCTTGTTGACTGGACATCTACACTACATGAGCTGCTGTTTATATGTGAGCATTAGCTCATGACGATACCTAGGTACGTGTATCGCCTGGACAGTCTACGCAACATCCTTGAGGACTGAAGAATGTCTGACTAAGCTCTTAATAAGCTTGTAAATAGATCAAGTGGCTACTCTTTGTAGAAAACTGAATTAAAATATAAAATTATGCACACTTGAGTCTGTGAGTATTATAAGTATCACCTAATTAGCATTTATTGGAAACAATTAAGTATGCGTTGTATGTTATGTGAGTTAAAGTTCATTTTGCTGTGATCTTAATGTTTTTCATAACTCGGAGAGCTATAGCATAGGTACCTACCTATTTTCTGTTTTCTATATACACACACAATGTTTGGTTGTAGTAGAATATTTAGGATTCATTGCAAATTATTGTTATTATTTTCGTCATCAGCCTGTAACTGGTAACAGCTGAGCAAATTAAGGCCTCTTCTGACACAGAGTATATGTTCACACATGAACGTGCCATTTCAGCGAGATAATCCTACGTGATTAAAATAAGGAAAACATATTACTTATTAAATATATAAAACTAATAAAACATCACGTAATCACGTAAGGTATATAGCACTGAGATGGTACATTACACGCATAGCACACAATCATAATGTGGTATGTGTGTACATAGGATAAGTTTAGTATATAAGATCATGTAGATTAAGCAATAAACGAGTCATTAAGTTGATTCCGACTTTGACTCACTACCCTTCCTCCACCTCTCACTGTGGCCAAGACACCTTTAGCCATCAACCGATCTGTCGTGTGAGTCTGCTCGACAGGCAGTGAGAAAACCATCACCACCATACCCCATTCCTACCCACATTCCGTCTGCCATCATAGGTCTCAGTTGGCAGATATCCTGCACCTATCTATATAAGTATATATAAATACGTATAGTAGGGCTAGGGTCTAGGGACTGTAGGGCTAGGGCATTAGGCGCGTACGAAGAGTAGGTCTGTATCACAGCATACCACAGTGTACCACTATAGTACGTGCCTTAGGTTAAGGGCTTGGTAGTAGGTGCGTAGAAGTGCTGGTCTGTATCACAGTATACCACAGAGTACCAAGCCTATACGCATTGTACGCTAGGCAAATATAGGATAGAACTTAGACTACATAGGTTATTGGGCTTAGGGGATCCAGGATAGGATATTGTAAGTGTTAGATTATCTAGGATAGTGTAGGATAACGTTAGCTAGTAGTACTTAGGATTAGGTATTTAGTCCTGTACAGCGCGATCTTAGCGTAAGGCTATTATCACGCTGTACATTTTGGTCCTTCGAGTCGAACAGTATAAGTGCCACAATCAGATTACTACCAGGGAAAATATTATATACCTCACCAACCGGTGATTAAAGAAGACTCATTAACCACCAAATTACGGGTAGTATTTGATGCGTCAAGCAAGGCTAAATCACACACAAGCTTAAACTCTAATATGTACACGGGACCTAGGTTACAACAAGACTTGGCGTCTATATTACTACGGTGGCGTAAACATAGAATAGTATTCATGGCAGATATAGAGAAGATGTACAGATTTATAAAAGTAAATGAACAAGACTGGAAATATCAGAGAATATTATGGAGGGAGTCAATAAAGTATCCAATTGCGGAATACGAATTAACAACCGTTACGTACGGTACAGCATCTGCACCTTATTTGGCAGTAAGGACGTTACAGCAACTGGCAAATGACGAAAAAAGGAATTATCCTATTGCCAGTCGTATAGCACTTCAAGATTTCTATGTCGACGATATATTATCAGGGGAAAATGAAATCAAGGCCGCAAAGCAGTTACAAAAAGAATTAACATGTATGTTACAGACCGGTGGATTTAACCTCAGAAAGTGGTCATCGAATAGTGCGGAATTATTGGAGAGCATACCAAATGATAATCAAGATAACAAAATGTTTAGATTGCCAATAGACGAAGCCAGGAAGTCATTAGGAATTTGGTGGACACCGGATAAAGATAGCTTTTCATATGAAATCATAGTTAATAAAAACCAAAGTCCAACAAAACGGTTCATTCTGTCAGAAGTTTCCAAATTATTTGACCCACTTGGGTGGTTGGCACCAGTTATTATTAATATGAAACTAATCATCCAAGATCTTTGGGCAAATGGAAGTGAATGGGATCAGCCTGTAGAGGACTCTATAAAGAAAAGGTGGGAAGAGATACAAAGCCAATTGAAAGCACTGGAAAGTATATCAATTCCGAGATGGTGTCATTATACACCTAATGCGCAGATTGAACTTCACGGATTCAGCGATAGTTCCGAAAAAGCGTACGGCGCAGTGGTCTATTGTCGAGTAATAAAAAGTGATAACTCGGCTGACGTCACTTTATTACAAGCCAAGTCCAAAGTAGCGCCAAAGAAACGTAAAATAACTTTACCTAAACTCGAATTGTGTGCAGCGTTATTACTCGCAAAATTAATGAAAAACGTTATTAAGGACATGCAAATGGTTAACATAGATATATATTGCTGGACGGACTCAATGATCACGCTTGGATGGATCAAGGGAGAAGCAGATCGTTGGAAAACTTTCGTCGCTAACAGGGTGTCTGAAATTCAAACATTATTACCCAAGGCCAAGTGGAACTATGTTAATACGTGTCAGAACCCTGCCGATGTAATCTCAAGAGGTATCGCGCCAAGTAAATTACAACAATTAGATCTGTGGTGGAATGGCCCAGAGTGGCTAAAAAATAATTCAATACCAAGTACGAAAACTATTCCAGAAATATGCGAAGAAATAAAACGCAGTTTTTACGTAAGCACTGAACCAAAGGAATCAATATGGGAAAGATTCTCAAGCTTCAAAAAGATGGTACGAGTCTTATCGTATTGTTATAGATTTATAAGACAAGGAAGGAACTATGGCCAATTAAGTTGTATGGAAATCAATAATACTGCCAATCATATTTTAAAGTTGGTACAAAAGGAAGTGTTCTCGGAAGAATATCGCGCGATTAGTGACGGGTTGTCGCTAAAGAAAGGCAATAAACTGGCTTGCTTAGACCCATTTATCGATAATGACGGCTTATTAAGAGTGGGAGGTAGGCTCCAAAGATCAAACCTACCTTACGATCAAAAACATCCTATTTTGTTACCGCAGAAGCATCACGTGACTTCAATTATAATTCATGACGCTCACTTGACAACATTACATGGAGGTAATACGTTAACATTGGCCTATATAAGACAAAAATATTGGGTGCTTGGCGGGAAACGTGTAGTAAAGAGCTACATAAGAAAATGTGTAAAATGTATTCGATATACAGCATCGGCAAGTAAACAAAAAATGGGGATACTACCGAGAGCCCGAGTAACAGAGTCATTTCCGTTTACTCATACTGGGGTCGATTATGCAGGACCCATAAAAGTGAGAACAATGAAAGGAAGAGGGCATAAATCGTACAAAGGATATATTGCAGTTTTTGTGTGTCTGGCGACAAAAGCTATACACCTTGAATTAGTAGGAGACTTGTCCACAGAAAGTTTCATAGCGGCATTACGGCGGTTTATGGCAAGAAGAGGCCCAGTATCACATATATACAGCGATAACGCTACAAACTTTGTGGGAGCAGCTAATTTCTTATACAAGGAGCTGTTAGAAATAACCCAATCAGACACATTTCAAAGCAGTGTGACAGCTATGGGAACGCAATGGCATTTTATTCCCCCATCGTCGCCACATTTCGGCGGTATTTGGGAAGCAGGAGTAAAATCAATGAAACACCACTTACACAGGGTAATAGGAGACCAAACATTAACTTACGAAGAATTATCTACATTTTTATATCAAACGGAAGCCTGTTTAAATTCTAGACCATTGTGTGCACAAAGTGAAGACATAAATGATAATGTAGTGCTAACACCAAGTCATTTTTTGATTGGACGAGAAGCAGTAGGAATACCTGATCCACTGTCTAACATTAATACGGATTTGTTAAATAGATGGAAAAATATTCAAAAAATGAAAAGAGACTTCTGGAAAAGTTGGACTCGTGATTATTTACAACAGTTACAACAAAGATACAAATGGAAAACAACGGAGAATAATATATCAATTGGAACGTTAGTACTTATGAAAGAAGATAATATTAATCCTAGCAATTGGCCACTTGCGAAAGTCAAGGAAATACATAAAGGCAATGATGGTTTAGTTAGAGTAGTTACTCTTAAAAAATCATCAGGCGCCATTCAGAAACGGTCGATACACACGCTCATTCCGTTGCCTATAAATGCGGACCTGAGTCATCAATCGCAAACCAAAGTTAATACGAATATTACTACATGCTATAGTAATAAGAGTCCGAGGTCTTGTAGAGGCACGTCAAAATGGCTATTATGCTTACTAATAATGTTACAATTGTTCGGTACTATGATTGCTACACAGACATATACCGTGAAGAATTTGTCTCCAGGATTTTATGTTGAAAACATAGGAACCGCAAACATAGATCGAGGCATGTTTCGTATAGAGACGGTATATAAGAAAGAGCGACTGAATGAGGATTACATTAGGATAGAAAGTGCATTATCCAAGTTTAAGCAACTTTGTGACAAGGCGGACGTTGCAACGACGGATACACATTGTAATCAATTTTATCATCATTTACTGGAGCAAAAGACAAAATATGAACGCATCAAAGAATATTTTACAGAGTTTCATGAAACGCGAAGGAGAAGGGGTTTGCTGGGGAATTTTTTAACCTCAGTGTTTGGTGTAAATGACGAGATATACAGAGACATAGATTCGTTAAACTCAAACCAACAAAAATTGATTGAAGCATCTAGTCACCAAACTAAAATCATGATATCGGCTATTTCCCAAGTAAATGGTACTGAAGAAAGAATAAGACATAAACTAGAAGGATTTCAAACAAAACTGTCACAAGTAATAGAGCGCATAAATAGCTATGACTATTGGTACATTAAAACTAATCACAATGATATAAAGATTCAGATTTTGCAAACGTTCCAAGTAGCCAATAATTACATTGACGAAATTTTAAACTACTACAATGGGTTATTAGAAGTATACTTAACAAAGGCTAGCGTGTATAGTGTCTTGCCACCCAAAAATGTTAGTGAATTAATATTTTCCGCAAATAGGAAGATGCCATCCAACATTAGAATAGTCCAAGAACTATTATTAGATACAAGGATAGTCGAGAATATGACTCATATACAAGTACACGCTTATTTTCCAATTAAAGATATTACAAAGTATACTTTAATTCATGTTACACCAGTACCTAAGAAGAATATGAACAATACGTTCGAAAGCATAGAAGTATCGAGAGCATTTTTAGCAATTGATTACAATAATGAATTATACTTCGAACTGGACCACGAAGAATTCAAAGAGTGTATACAAAGGCACGAACAGTTTCTTTGCTTCCCTGGAGTGGTGAAGAACATGCAATTAAATGAAAATTGCATCGTTGACCAATTATTCAAAAATCAAACTAACACTAAATGTCCTACCCATATCTTTGAAATGTCAAGTAATATAATTTGGAAACAGCTATGCATGCAAAACTCATGGTTGTTTATAACAAAAACTAGTAGCACTATATCCATAGTTTGTGATAGTAAGCGAGAAGAAATAACCATTCAAGACGTAGGAGTAATAAAAATCGCTGACAATTGTATCATAAAATCCGTTAACAACAGACTCGCTGCTAAGAGAACGTTATCAATTCAGGTAGCAGAGTCCTTTTCAAAACAACTAAATTTTAGTATATACACATATATATCAAATCGAAGTAAAAAACTAAATATATCTAAGGAGGCTGTAATAGAAAGTTCCAATGACTTTTATCAGCACTTAATAAATGAAGAGTCTGGATTGGAAATAGAACTTAACGATAACATATGGAAGGACATTCAATCTCACACATACTTAGTGAGCTGCGTATCATCAATAATATTGATGACAATTATAATTATAGTTGTTTGTTATGGTCCCAGGATAGTTACGTGTACGAAAACAGGAACACATCGACTTCGACAACACCCTAAATCATCAAAAGCTGATCCGCCACACCCACAACGTGCACCAGATCAAGGCAACAACCAGCCATCTACATGGAACGCCATCTACAGCCAGCCGAACCAACTACTGAAGCCTCCCAGGAAGCAGCCGGAGAACCAGGACGCAGCCAAGGATGACTCCATAGAACTATATCAAATGGAGTTGCCTGTTCCTCGGAGAGGGCAGAATGTTCACACATGAACGTGCCATTTCAGCGAGATAATCCTACGTGATTAAAATAAGGAAAACATATTACTTATTAAATATATAAAACTAATAAAACATCACGTAATCACGTAAGGTATATAGCACTGAGATGGTACATTACACGCATAGCACACAATCATAATGTGGTATGTGTGTACATAGGATAAGTTTAGTATATAAGATCATGTAGATTAAGCAATAAACCAGTCATTAAGTTGATTCCGACTTTGACTCACTACCCTTCCTCCACCTCTCACTGTGGCCAAGACACCTTTAGCCATCAACCGATCTGTCGTGTGAGTCTGCTCGACAGGCAGTGAGAAAACCATCACCACCATACCCCATTCCTACCCACATTCCGTCTGCCATCATAGGTCTCAGTTGGCAGATATCCTGCACCTATCTATATAAGTATATATAAATACGTATAGTAGGGCTAGGGTCTAGGGACTGTAGGGCTAGGGCATTAGGCGCGTACGAAGAGTAGGTCTGTATCACAGCATACCACAGTGTACCACTATAGTACGTGCCTTAGGTTAAGGGCTTGGTAGTAGGTGCGTAGAAGTGCTGGTCTGTATCACAGTATACCACAGAGTACCAAGCCTATACGCATTGTACGCTAGGCAAATATAGGATAGAACTTAGACTACATAGGTTATTGGGCTTAGGGGATCCAGGATAGGATATTGTAAGTGTTAGATTATCTAGGATAGTGTAGGATAACGTTAGCTAGTAGTACTTAGGATTAGGTATTTAGTCCTGTACAGCGCGATCTTAGCGTAAGGCTATTATCACGCTGTACAGTATATTATGTAGATATGTGTAAAGTGTGGGAGAGGCAAGCTTTCGCACAAATGGTTCGGCTCCACCGGAGTGACAACACCACGGCCTCACAGACAACCGGGCGGCGTGAAACAACCACAGTATTGCGTGTCGCTTTGTGGGTAATGTTACCGAAGGCCCAATCCCACCCCTCCTCTAATCCGTTCCCAATCCCAAAGTCTTCAAATCCGTAATCCCCAAAATGTGGGCAACGCATTCGTAACTCCTACGCCGATAGGGTATCCGTGGGCAGCGCTGATTGCTTATAGTCAGGTAATCCAAATGTCCGACGTAACAAAAACCTAAACAGTATGTACTAAAAAGGAAAACTATTTTCGTAAATTAAAAATACGATGTTTAAACCTGAAATCGTATGAAACTTGTTTAACAGCTAGCCCATAAATTTTCAGCTTGAAATTGGTACTTAAGACAGGGCAGGGCTGACACCTCATTTTACTTGTAAAATGTAGTTTCTGAAATCCCTATTTGCCTTCAGTTTTGGTAGTAAATTATAAGTATAATTAATCGTAGTTTTAAAGATTTATGCATACATAGGGATATAGGGACAGAGAAAGCGACTTTTTTTATACTATATATACCTAGTACCAGGGCAAAAGTTTAGTTGTATTTGTGTTATTCAAGACTAACATCTAACTCAGATTTGCCGTGAAAGTGCAAAAAACTTCCACCCAAATTTTTTTTTAATACGTCTCCCCATACTTGGATTTTATTTTGTGTCCTGGGTGCGTTTCCAAACATACAATTTCACATACACATCGCACTCAGTCCCAGAACAACAATTTGTTGATCACACAAAGAGTTCTGACGGCTTCATACACACCTTACAATAAAAAATAAACAACCTATTAGAGTTTTCCTTCAAATACTGAACAACCACCCCTAAAACTGAACTAAATACTCAATTTTCAACGTCTACCGACCGAATTCTGTACATAAACTGCCCATTAACGACATCTAGCGGTCAAGTTGGCAATTAATGGCCTCTTTCTAAGCCTTTCAACGTGCCTAGGAACATTAATAAGATATATTGGAATTTTATTGACTAGATTCTTGGTCGAGACGTGGTGTTACTTATTTTCTTCAGCGTGGTAAGCACGGGTTTTATATGCTTTTAAGGATAGTGATTTTCAAACGTCTGAGAGCGAAGTTCGTTTTAAAAGGCCAGTTACGTACCTATGGTAGTTCGTTGTAACTTAATATCTTCCTCGGTCAAACTTAAATTTCTTCAAGACTTCAATACAATTAAATATTCAATAATTATCGTACTTCATTGTTGATCGATATATTGAATTTAAAAAAAATTGGTTACATTTGAAGAAAAAAGTATAATACCTGTGCCACATTCATTCAGATCCGTCTAGCCGTTTTGGCGTTCTTGAGTAAAAACATACAGACATTAAAACGTCGTAACTTTCGCATTTATAATATTAGTAAGATTATTTAAATATTTTATATACAAACAGAAATTAAAACAAGCTTCGAACCAAAACTCTTAGCTTCTTCGCAAATCTCCCTAAATTATCTTAAATCAACTCCAAAGCGTCTATTGAAAATTCGACCACTAAATCCGTTATTATTGTGACAGAAAACTCTTTGACATCATGACGTCAATGGATGGTTGTCAAACGTTGCCTAGAGATTGTAAATTTCGTCGTGAATTGTCAACACGAGTTGGTGTAATCGGTAAGGCGTGTGGATTACACCACAGAGACCCCGAGTTCGAGTCCCGCCGTAAACATGAAGTTTTTTAGTTGATGGAAGTTTTGTCGAACTTTCTGGAATATTTGAGTGAAAGTAATGAAAAATTAAGGAGCGAGAAGGAGAATAAATAAAAATGAATAACGAAATTATTGGAAGGTTCTGGAGGCATGACGATCAAAAAAGAATAACGAAATTGAATGTTCTAGAACCTGACCGGGGGTATATAAGCGGAACTGCGGCTCACCGCTGGCAGTTGAGTTCTAAGTCTAAAGCGATTCGGAAGAAAAGGAAGAAGTGAAAAGAAGAAAAGTGAGTGAAATAGTGAAGTGCAGTGAAATAGTGAAGTGCAGTCAGTTAAGTGAAGTTAGCCGTGAACGGCAAGTTGTGTCAGTCGGCCGGACTCTGCTGGAGAGGAACGCCGATAACTTAACTCCGTGGACGCTGTAACTTAAGCGCAATAGAAAGTCTGAAAACCGGTATTAGTGTTTCATTTCATCCAATCCCGTAACCCAAGCCCGCATAGTAAGGAACGTGACGTCAGGCACGTAACATTTGGTGTCAGAAGTGGGATTGGAGAAAAATGCCGCTAGTGCCGCAGGACGTAAGAGGAGTGAGTACCCGTGCTATGTCAGAAGCGCAGCGTGTGAGGGAAGAGGGTGCTGCAGCTCAGACCAGCGATGCAGAAGCCAAGCCTGTGCAGATGGATCTTCTGCTACAGCTGCGGCAAATGATGGCAGAACAGCTGCGTGAGCTGAAAGAAGATCAAGCGCGCCGCCAAGAAGAGCAAGCACGCTGTCAGGCAGAACAGCTGCGGGAGCTGAAAGAAGATCAAGCGCGCCGCCAAGAAGAGCAAGCGCGCCGCCAAGAAGAGCAAGCGCGCCGCCAAGAAGAGCAAGCGCGCCGCCAAGAAGAGCAAGCACGCTGTCAGTCAGAACAGCTGCGGGAGCTGAAAGAAGATCAAGCTCGTCGCCAAGAGGAGCAAGCGCGTCGCTTGGAAGACATGCATAAAGATTTTACGAAGGGACTGCAAAAGGCTGTCGAACGGGTACAAGAAGTGGAGGAAGGGTTAGGCAAGTTGGAACATCGCGTCATGGCGATAGAGGAGAGACTGGAAGAAGAGATCTCCAAATCAAGCAGGAAGTGACAAACCCAAGCCCTTTGAAGAGCCGAAGCCGTCTTGCAGCCGTTTTTGACGCCCCAAATGCGGCCTTAAGCGCAACGAAAGGGCTCAAGATTCCCCATTACGACGGAACAACATCCTGGACCGCGTTCAAGCTACAGTTTGAGACACTTATGGAGGCTATGGTTGGACTCAGAAGGAAGCACAGTCAGCCCTCACCCTGGCCCTCCGTGATCAAGCGCTCTCAGTGCTGGAAGCTATCGGCGCAAGTGGGGATCTCAGCTTTAGTGCCCTCCTCGACGCACTTGAGGCACGTTTTGGAGACAGCCACCTCGAGCACGTGTACAGAGCGCAATTAAAAGAGCGTACTCAGCGTGCTAATGAGAGCCTACAGCAATGGTCCGTGGAAATCGAGAAACTTGTACGTCGAGCTTTCCGGTCGACTCCGTCAATGATTGAAGGCACGCTTCTCCAAGCGTTCATTGACGGTATTCGGGACCCAGAAGTACGAGCTGCTGTTCATCTGGGCCATCACAAGAACATGAAAGAAGCTCTGGCCCATGCATTGGAAGTGGAAGCCGTGCGTGGCAACTCCCGTACCTTACGTCTGCGGGAAATGACGACAACGGAGCAGGTACCTCCACGCCGTCGGAACTTCATGTGCTATGGATGTGGAGAGCGTGGGCACATACGGAGCGACTGCCCGAAGAAGATGAACCGCCAGGACGCGGCGGTCTCAACTTCTGACCAGCAGGGAAACTTAAATCCAGCCAGGGCTGCGGGGTGGGCGCTGGCTGGTAGTGGAACAACCCCAACAATCTACATCAAGCAAACCAACGATGGAAATACTCTGGTGATAGACGGTCAATTAAATGGGAAAAACAGTCAGCTAACATTAGATACTGGAGCTTCAAGGACGGTGATAAATGTTCGGCTGCTCGAGCAAAACATCAGGAAACACCTTAAACCAATTGTTGGCCTACAAATGAAATCAGCTACCGGCCAGTGCATACCGATAAGTGGGAAACTGCATGTAACAATCAAAATTGGGGAACGTGTTTATCGACATGAGGTTATTGTGGCCAAAATTCTGGATGACTGCATCCTGGGACTTGACTTCCTGCAAGGGCACCAGTGTAACATCGACTTAAAATCTGGAGTTTTACTTTGTGGAACTGAGGAAATTCCGATGAAGGGTGGAACCCTGGGAAAAGTTTGCTGTTTAAGAAGAACTGTTCTTGCACCAAAATCACAGACTCTCGTACCAATCGCATTACCTAGGAGGAAGGAAGGAAGTTTACCTCGAAGGTGCGCTGTGATTGATAAATCG